TAGTATTTGAATATATTGTAAAGAGTCCCTTTCCTCATATAGTTGCATACGCTACAACACAACTTATACTACAATTTTATAACCGTAGTCATTTAAATAGTGCTATAGTCATCGTTTATACTTCATAACACCGTACATTCAAACGCGCATCGTTTAAGTACACAATTGCCGTATTCACTCCATTAGCTGTTATCGTCTAGCTCCGTATATATTTAGGAAATGCGCGTAGTAAATAGCAACATAGCCGCCGTGATTCATTACCGTAGTCACCAAAGTAATCACCACTAAAACTAATAATTACACTAACTAAAACCGAGCTATGTCTTCTACCGCGTACATTCGTATCTTTATTTGGATCAAGTATTTACCTTCCGTATTAGCCGAAATTATTATGTTGTGATAATTATTACTGAAACCACAAATATTAATGTTTACCGTCTTTTCATAAGTAAATGTCATGTTCCTCATCTAAGCAGTTGGTGCAGTCTACTGTACATGCTCTATTAAAATGTTACGACTTCTCAATTTAGCTTTTAAGAAATGTTATTTGGCATTACCGTTATTATTCTAGTAAATACTGCATCTGTTGTATAATGTTACCGCACATACTCCAATATTAAATACATTGCCTTTATTGTTATGCCTTTATTAGATGGACAATGTGTTAGCATATTATTATCATTGTACGTCACTATTATATATTAATTGATGTAACTTGAATGATATGACACACTTGCTTGAATAAACCCTAAAGACCCTCACAGCTCTCTTCTCTCTTGTTTCAAGGCTAGCTCCCAATAGCTAATTCCCCAAACCGAGGCCTTACAGTTATTGGGATCACCCCAAAAAGGCTGTCTTATATGCGACAAAAGATGAAGAAATTAGGCCAAGGGACTACAAGTATTCCCTGTTGAGCTGTAGCCCAGCTTAACAAGATTCTGGAGGTGTTCACGTTGTGTGACACGAGCGTGACACGGATGTAGAGGGCGCTCTTCACCAATGGAAACCTTACAATGCTATTCATGTCAACATCCACTTCTGTGGTTTCCGGTGAAGAACATTGGTCCCCAGCTACTGTGCGTGTCTCAAGAGGCGGCTTAATTGATCAAGTGGTCAGGCTCGCTGGCTTGGTTGAGGCAAGTCATCGCATGCCAACAGCGTAGATCGATGCTCACCATGTCAATCATTGGATTGTCTGGTCCAGACTCGAATACTGACCAACAGACAGACAGACATACATACAGACCCGTGAAGATCCGGGGTAGAGTGGGTCTTCAGCAACCCATGCTTGCCATAAAAGGCGACTATGCTCGTCGTAAAAGGCGACTAACGGGATCGGGTAGTCAGGCTCGCTGACTTGGTTGATACATGTCATCGTATCCCAACTGCGTGGATCGATGCTCATGATGTCAATCACCTGATTGTCTGGTCCAGACTCGATTATTTACAGACCGCCGTCATATAGCTGGAATATTGCTGAGTGCGGCGTTAAACAACAAACCAACCAACCAACATACATACATACATATCCCATCGTATGTCATCGTATCCAAACAGCGTAGATCGATGCTTATCATGTCAGTCATTGGATTGTCTGGTCCGTATGTACGTGTATGTATGTATGTATGTATGTATGTATGTATGTATGTATGTATGTATGTATGTATGTATGTATGTATGTATGTATGTATGTATGTATGTATGTATGTATGTATGTATGTATGTATGTGTTGGTCTGTCAATATGTGTGTGTGTGTGTTTATACATGTCATCGTATCCAAACAGAGTAGATCGAAGCTCATCATCGGCGTATGAATATATACTCACACGCAAAAGAAACGCAAATCGAGTATGCAGTTTTCATGTTATTTATTTTCAACAGTAAAGACTAGAAATTCTAATAGGGCAAGATTGACAAAAATTTGACTGAAGACAGTCTAAATGATTAAAAGGCAAATGACATAATTGTTTTTTTTCAAATGTAAAGGGCTTACACAGTTTCAGGTCAATACCCAACATGTCAGTCAATACCTGGTGTGACCACCATAAGCATTGATCACTGCTACACATCTCCTGTATATTGAGTGGATCAGACGATTTGTGAAGGCCCAAGGGATCCTCCTGCACACATCCAGAGCAGCTGTGCGTAGTTCATCGGCAGTTGTAGGGACTGGGCCCACATTGTGCAGACGCCTTTGAACCTTATCCCACAAGTGTTCGATGGGGTTCAGATCAAAACACGGATGTTGTGTTGTTGCAGAAAGGCCATGGTAGCTCTGGCAACATGCGGACGAGTGTTGTCCTGCTGGAAAATGTGTTGTTGATGTTGTGCAAAAAATGGAACAACGTGGGGTCTAATCACTTGGTCGTTATACCGCTGAGCAGTGTCGCCGTGTCCCCGACCTTGAACAACATTCAGAAAGCACATGGGTCCAAGTCTCGCATTAAGTCCAATCCCTGCCCATATCATGACGCTAGGTCCACCCCATGGATCCCTTTCCACAACGTTTCTGTCAGCGAAACGATCACCTCGACGCCATCAAATTCTGACTCTTCCGTCTGCTTTGGAGACACAAAAGCGACTTTCATCAGAGAAGATGACACGCCTCCACTCACGATGACGCCAATTGCGATGACCCTGTGCCCACTGAAGTCGTGCTTGTCGATGGCGTGGTTGGAGAACAGGACGACGTGCTGGTCGGCGACATCTGAGGTTGTTGGAACGGAGACGTCGGATCACAGTGTCCCGGCTAATGTGTCGATTATGTGTTCCTAAGGTCTGTCGAGCACTTTTACTTGCAGTTAGGAACGGATGTCGCTGGTGTTGACGGGTAATCTGCCGATCTTGTCGAGGTGTGGTGACCCTAGGACCGCTCCGAGGAAGGTCATCTGTGGTCCGTATAGCATTGTATCGATGCAGGAGACGGTAAATTGTGGTTATCTTAACGTTGAAATGACGGGCAACATCTTGGACAGACTCTCCAGCTTCCAAACGTCCGATAGCCTGGTTTCTCTGAATTTGAGTTAGGCGTGGCATTGTTGACCGGAGAGTGGTAGGTCCAAGAATCGGCCACAGTTTTATACCCACTACAGTTCGTGACAGTTCGTGCATTTTCGATTTCGCGAGAAATGGGTGCATGATACCCACATATTCATTGAAATGGTGCGTTTTGGCGATTCGGTTTTTATGTTGCGATTTTACCCGGGGCTTCCAAAATGCAACCAAAAATATTGATAACACCATCAGGCTTCACTACATGCTAAAACTCCTATCAATTTATAGTTCCGTGTTTGTTACCTATTTGCTTAAAACCACTTGCGTTTCTTTTGCGTGTGAGTATATGTACTAAAGAGATCTGTGGTCAGGCTCGCTGACTTTCGTGATGCATGTCATCGCATCCGAACAGCGTAGATCGATGTCAATCACTGGGCTGATTCCAGACCGCCGTCATATAGCTTGAATATTGGAATGCGGCGTTAAACAACAGTCAATCATATCCTCGTTGGTTATGAAGGATTTCCTCCTGTCCCAGCTCTGGACGTTAGATATCACTGAGTGAGCGGATCTACCTTAAGTTTCAAACTTTGCCGACTATCTTCACCAGTGTCATCTTGTCCTTGTCACAGAACATCCTGTTGATAGACGATAGACCAACAGATTATGCCGTATGCCCTATTGGAATTTCCTTCACGGAATCACGGAATCCGTCAACACGTCTCAAATCCGTGAAATACTTTCTAACATAAATGCCACTATCAACGTCTCGTCTTTTACCCATGTATCTAAATGTATATAAGTACCAAGTTTTTTGTGTGTTGTTGTTTAACGCTGCACTCAGCAATATTACAGCGAAACCCATGCTTGCCGTAAAAGGCGACTATGCTGGTCGTAAAAGACGACTAACGGGATCGGGTGGTCAGGCTCGCTGACTTGGTTGATGCATGTCATCGATACCAATTGCGTGGATCTATGTTCATGATGTCAAACACTGGATTGTCTGGTCCAGACTCCATTATTTCAGACCGCCGTCATATGGCTGGAATATTGCTGAGTGCGGCGTTAAACAACAAACCAACCAACCAACTACAGCTATATGATGGTGGTCTGTAAACAATCGATTCTGGACCAGACAATCGAGTGATTGAGCATCGATCTACGAAATTGGGATACGGTACAAAGTCACCGAGCCTGACCACCCGATCCCGTTTGTCGTCTTTTACGACAAGCATGGGTTGTTGAACAATAATTCTAACCCAGATCTTTGCGGGTCTAATTATCAAGTAAACCCCATATGTCAAGTAGGCCTACTTGCTAAAGGAAAACAGTTACATAAAGTCAGTTGGTTGTGTGACTACAACAGTATACGTATGGGTATGTATGCACATATTCATATATGTTTACTGTAAAATGTGCTTTTGGTGCGTTTTATCCTTGTGTCATATCTACGATTTAGATATAAGACTACGTTTCTCTTCCCAAATAATTCCCATGGTGAAAAGGAAGGTTTTTGAAGCCCATTTTAGGTATTTCGCGTCGTTATACAGCAAGAAAATTAAATTGCAACAAACATCGTAAAACTCAGTCAGGTGCTCAATTGTTCAGCCTTATATAGAGTGAATGAGTGAGTGAGTATGGTTTTACGCCGCTTTTAGCAATATTCCAGCAATATCACGGCGGGGGACACCAGAAATGGGCTTCACACATTGTACCCATGTCGGGAATCGAACCCGGGTCTATGGCGTGACGAGCGAACGCTTTAACCACTAGGCTACCCGACCGCCCCTGCCTTATATAGAGTTCAGGGGAGTCGGGTATTTAGAAATAACAATAGTATATAACACAAACTATTCCTACAGACATCCATTATTGTTTTATCTACTGACGAAAGTGTGTCAACGGCATATTAATAAGCTTTAATAACAATCAGAAAGCACAATTAAAGAAAAGATACATGATGTCATAGAACAATTTTAATGAACATTTGATGACTACCTTGTTTTCATAGTCGGCTTAAAAAATACTGGTCATCCAAGAGGAAACACACACCAAACATGTGGAAACACTTAAATATACTTTTCCTTTTAGTTGGCGGTTTTTCTTGCTCTTGGGTTGCAGGAGGGGGTTTGCCAGTTCCTATGAGTGATTCTTCATCTTCAGAAATGATTGAACGTCTTGTCGATGTCATGTTTGGAGTTAGACACGTAACACCCGTGTAAAATGGCAGGACAAACAACGACCCAAGCATAAATAACATAAACATCCCATCTGTAAAATAAACTACAACTAAACCGACGAGTATCAAAGACACCAATGAATATCCCCATAAGTGCTTCCAAGCTGACAAAAACGGATTGGAGGACTTAAATTCTTCTTCTACGGCTCTTTGAGGTATCCAATGTACGTTGTTGGTAATATTGGCCTGAATGGCCCGTACGATTCGTACGCATCCCACCATTGCCTCAGGTGTGAACTGGAGGATGGAGGCGACAGTCTCGAGGAACACATACTTGTAGTTTTCTCGGGTGCAGGTGGCAAACTTTGGGAAGACGAGGACGAGGAACATGACGATGATGATGGAGGCGTACCTATAACGGAGATGTGTGTGGTAGTGGATGATGATGTATGCCAGCAGGAGCGGCTTCATGAACATCTGACGCAGGGCGGAGTGAGCAATGTACGACGTGACAAAGTCCAGCTTTGACTCGGTTCTCAGTTTGGTGGCATTGAACTTCTCTCCTTGAAGCTTCTTCTGGAGCCATCGCATTGGTATACCGATGGCGTTCTTCCAAAAGTACATGGACAACAGAACCTCACCTCTGTTCCAGCGTCTTTCCCGAATATTCCAGGCCACGTAGTTGTAGGAGGGCGCCTCCAGGAGGTAAACGGACCCTACATAGAGTGGTTTGAGAAGAGCAGCTTCAAATGTGTCGTGGCTGAGAACATCGACGGGGACCCGCTCTATGAGATTGTCTCTGGTTCCTATGACGTTCTCAATATAAACGGAGTTCCTGATCAAAGCTTTACCGAAATAGGACGACTGTCCCAACAGATCTGTGATAGCGTTTGTTAATGGTTCATATATATCTTGTCTTGTCTGTTCAAGATGCATAAACAACGTGTCTGTGATTGAACAATGAAGTTTTATTGCTGGCTGGATGATCCCGCGTTCAGGATGCGCTGCCGCAATTCCCAACAGTTTCATAGCAAATCCAGGCACTACCATGGTATCACTGTCCAAAACGAACGTGTAATCAAAATGACGGTCGTATATATTCTTTGTATCCTCAGAGTCATGAAATAAAGGTTCCCCATAGGGTCTGGCGCATGTGCCATAAAACTCTGTATCGGTGTACGTATATGCTTCATTGTCACCACCTGACAGAAGCATTAAATCCTGATATTGACCACATTTTTTCAGAACTCTGCTTACCCTATGTATCACCATAAAATTGTGTGCAATGCGATGACATATTTCCTCCAGACAGGTTCGTTTAAAGTTACCAGTGTCCATACCGTCATATTTCGACCAGATATGATGTAAGCGTTGAGAATCTACCAGGTCTCTATTACCGCTGGCATAATGTATACCTTCCCAGAAAAGTTTACTGTGCACCAGAGCCCTAAAGTTATCTCTCACCTCCAGCTCATAATTCTTAAGTTCCTCTGAATTGGTAGCGCTAACTAACACAGCACATACATTCTGAGAGAGGTTCCCCATATAGGTGTCGTACATGGCCTGTAGACATTCGTCGATGTCGTCTCTGCTGACGGCGAGGAGGTTGTAGTTGAGGACTAATGATAGATGATCGGCTGAGGCGCGATTATTCTCTCGTCTGTCGCCTCCAAGAAAAAGCGTGGCTAGCGTCAACATCGGGAACTCCATCACGGAACCTTGCAGTACACCTACCACCAATATTATGACGATTCCTCTTGACATAGACGTCTCAATCCAGTCGATATTTAAAATGTTTAAGACAACAGCACATAATGCGAGGAATATCCATGATCCAAAGAATCCACATATTCGTAAGCGTTTAGTCATTCTCGTCAATTGCATTCAACTGAATGAATTCCGTGTCAAGCATTTTACATAGCTTTCATCCAAACGCCGGACTGACATTAACGTATCCCAGTTGAAGGGAAGTATTTGGATGGGGCATTTCCCTCATCTTCAACGACGTCCTGAGATAAAAGTTGTATCACTCTGCCCTGTAGATTGTGTTGTATCGGCTTCCTGAGATAGACGTCCGCTGTGTGGGGTGGTAGACGGTGAGGTGAAATTGGGTTTAACGTGGGGTGGTAGCCATTGTGCCCCTAAGCAAGAAACACACACAATAAGTGATAAACGTTATTATATAATCAAAATAACAAAGGCGATTATTATTATTATTATTATTATTATTATTATTATTATTATTATTATTATTATGATGATTTATTAATTTACAGTTTAAAATAAATATAATTATTAATATAAGTGTTTGTGGTTTTTTGTTCCGTGTGTTGTTTAACGACGCACACAGCAATATTCCGGCAGTATTATTATTATTAGTAGTAGTAATAGTAGTGAGTGAGTGAGTTGGGTTGAACGCCGCTTTTAACAGTATTCCAGTTATATCACGGCGTGTCGGCTTAATGTGAGAGGAAAGCCCGAAGTGATGCAGGTCTTAGACGTTTACCAGTTCGGTGAAACCTACGAGCATGGGTATGGTGCTAACAAACCTAGAAACATAATCGGGGCGAACCGGGATTCGAACCCACACTCATAGGTTCCTGGCGTGTCCGAGGGACGCAACTCTGCACACTTAGACGACTGGGCCACCAGTGCCCCCTATTATTATTATTATTATTAGTAGTAGTAGTAGTAGTAGTAGTAGTAGTAGTAGTAGTAGTAGTAATGATGATTATTACAATTACCATTATTAACAATAATCATCATAATATCAATACCAGAAACGAAAACAATTTAAACTTTGATAAAAAAAAGGGGAATTTGATAAAAGTGGAATTGCTTCCCGACACAGTGCCAGCTAATGTATTTAAATAACGCCTAGTTATGTTTTGTTGTAAACTGTAAACTGAGATTAAGAATAAAAGTCAAATTTGGAAAAGTATAACTGAGAATTAAAGTCATCGTGAACCTAACTAGATTACTAAAAATGTCCTCTGGGATTGAATTATGAATGTAAACATATGTTATTTCCCCAATGGTGATGCAAACATATACATGCGTATTTGCTATCCACACTTCCCGAAATGTAAAACTTAAATCCTTCAGTAAACCGATATGTGAGGATTTTGTAAGGTAGGTCATGGGATTTGTTTTGACTAAGAAATTTTGAATTTTCAAATTTTCAAATTTTCAAAGTAACAAAACATTAGAAAGTTTTGAAATCACTGTACTCCTCACTTCGCGTTGCACAAGCCAGTGGGTGTGAGATCCAATCATCAATACGACATGTTAGGATCCTGGGAACTTGACCCGATCTCATAGGTTCCACCAAGCTGCTTAACATCTGCGGCCTGTCCATTTGGGCTTCACTCACCGTGCCGTGATATAACTGAAGTTCCTTTCAAAGTAGCATAGGGCGGTCGGGTAGCCTAGTGGTTAAAGCGTTCGCTCGTCACGCCGAAGACCCGGGTTCGATTCCCGACATGGGTACAATGTGTGAAGCCCATTTCTGGTGTCTTCCGCCGTGATATTGCTGGAATATTGCTAAAAGCGGCGTAAAGCCATACTTACTCACTCAAAGAAGCATCAAACCATATAACTCACTCACTATAAAGTAAATCGGACATGCACAGGGATTCCTTGGTGCAAAAATAGATATTTTGTGATTTAGAAACTACATACTTAGAGCATGACGAACTACGGGGATAAACAGATTAAGTGTCCAGTGATTTAGTTTTCAACATTAATCCACGAGGGAGAGACAATCAAGTTATTCCGATTTGTGAGTTGGTTATATTTTTATTATACCAAAAGTCATGTTTGTGCGAAAGTTTAGAAAAATGTGAATTTTCTTATCTCAAGTGGAGACATAAGTTCAGCTACTCTATTGTTGGAACGACGTCAAAAATGATTGTTTGTGACGTAATGAACAATGGATGACGTCATTTTCGATTATTTTCGACAATGCGTCCATATGACGTCACGGGGTTTTCTTCGCAACAATGAAAACACTGAAACAATTGGAACGAACTAGCCAATCAGCATAAGGCAAAAAACATATTGGTCCGTGAGAAAAAAAAATAATTAAAAATCACCTGCATCTACATGTTTGTCCGTAAACCTATGGATAATACTGCTAGACAAACAGATAACAGTTTGGTTCCGATAGACAGTTTTGAAAATATTTGAGAAATATTCAGCGGATTGGACTTACCCCCGTCCATCGTTGGAAGTGCACACTCAACATAAATGATTTTATAAGGCGGAGTTGCATTTGTCTGTTATTAGCTATTATTATATAACTGTGCACTTTCGCTGGTATGCTCTCAAGGGTAACTAGTATCATGTATTGTTTACATGGCCAAGTGGTATGATTAGTGTAGCAGACACAAGCGTGAAACATTAATCAACGACAGTTAAGAGAGTACCATACGTTAGGATGGAATTATCACATAACTATTTTGACGTTTAACAATGTTCATGAGGGATAATAGTGGCAATCAAGGGGGAATTAGGATGTCACATAGGTTCGTCTGATTCTATCTGAGTTTGTGACGCCCTAGACACCAGGGCGGTTCTTGTCTGGCAGACAAGTCAAAATATTACAGCATACCCTCTAAATAGAGAGAGAGAGAGAGGGGGGGGGGGGGGGGAGTGAAGTGCATGCCAACACGAGTGAATATCTTTGAGCGAATCATTCACTATAGTTATTTTTATTTTTATTATTAGTATTATTAGTATTATAATTATTATTATAAGTAGTAGTAGTAGTAGTAGTAGTAGTAGTAGTAGTAGTAGTAGTAGTAGTAGAAGTGATGACAATTTCAATAACTATTATTAATAATAATCATCAATACCAGAAACGAAAACAATTTAAACTTTGATAATTTGAAATTTGACAAAAGTTTAATAAACATTGCTTCACGACATAGGGCCAGCTAGTGTATTTTAACAATGGTTATGTTTTGTTGAAAACTGTAAACTGTAAACCGAGAATTATAATGAGTGTCCACTTTTGGAAAGGTTTAACGGAGAATTAGAATACTAAAAATGGCATCGGAGATTGATATTATGAATATAAACATGTGTTATTTCCCCCATGGTGCTGCAAACATACATGCGTATCTGCTAGCCACAGTTGCTCAAAGTGAATATCTTTGAGCGATTCATTCATCTTGTGTGTGAATGAATTGGGCTGCAAATTTTTCAAAGCACACATGCTTGATGTATTGCCTATGAGTTCACGAATTTCGGTTCACTCAGTGTATGTGATTCTCAGTGAGCATTGTAAACTACAAGAAGTGCTTGCTGTAATCTGGCTGGTTGAAAATAGTGTTTCGGTCTCTCGATGCGGCAGAATATATTTCTGAATACAGTCTGTTTTCACTCAATCCCACATTCCATAACCATAAAACATAAATATCTGCCAAAAGCATATCAAATAAGCATGTGTTGATGAATCACTCTGCGGTGGAATAGCCTAGTGGTTAAAGCGTTCGCTCGTCACACGGGAGGCCCGGGTTCGATTCCCTACATGGGTACAATGTGTAGGCCCATCCGTGATATTGCTGGAATATTGCCAAAAGTGGCGTAAAACTATGCGTAATGATTCACTACGGATCACAATCAATAAGTGATGACATAAGTGTTTGCGAAACTGTAAACGCACCCTGCCCCATCGGTGGCACCTGTCACAAACACATGCAAAGTCAAGTGTTCACCAGAACAAGCACGTGAACAAATGGTGCAAGTCAAAATAAGAAATTGCAAAAGACATAGACGTGGTCACTGATGCGTCACATTTGGAAATGTCCACCACAGGTCTACCATACTTTGTTTTGAATGCTTTCCTGATGCTTTGAAAGCTGCAAACACAATTATTAAACAATTATTTTGTTTAATACTTATCAGAACAAGTTATGATCCTCATTCTGACTTGATTATAATGTGGAATCATGTGACGTCATCGTTGTAGCATGATGTCATCCATTGTAGCACGACGTCAACATATGTAAGTGTGACGTCATAACAATCCAGAGCGACGTCCTGTCTGTCTCACAGCTGTGAGAGTTCACGTAGAGTTATTAAGTATGGAATACTGTAAGGGACATTCTCGCGATCTCGCATTCTCGATTAAGAGAGTGCTTCAGGAAATGACTAACTTTCGTTCACACATAATATTTTTCTACTCATTCGAATTTGCCTTCCTGATGACCGACACACCAGTTGTTCAATTGATATCTTTGTTTGCAAAGCCACGAGAGGTGGCTGAACAGTTCTAAGCTTAACCATCATGGACAGCGTTGATGGAGTTGGTTGCTAAATGTTTTCAAACAGAACCCCCTCCGAAGTCCACACACTTCTGCCACCGATGCTGGTGTTGACTGGTGTAGAAGTCTTCTTCTGGTTGGTGTCGTAAGTCCCCCACAGCAGAAATGGCGTCATCATTTGCATAATGCTTGCCAGGTAGTCCTATCTTCATATTTGGGAGGAGGTGATAATATGACGGTACTGAATCTTATGACCACGATGAATGTTCAACGACTTCAAAGACGCAGTCATGCATTGCAGTAATGGCGACAACAGACTTGTGCACAGGTGTTTTGTCCTGTAGGAACAACATACACCTTTTGTGTGTTTTCCACAACGTGTTGCCTTGATATTCTCACGCAGTTGATTCGGCAGAATACAAATAGTATAATATTATAAGGGTAATGCTATTTAAAGGGGGTTATCATTATCAGAAGCCTGAGGTCTTCCATTAACCGAAGAGCAGTTGAAAAGACCGAGGGCTTCTGCAAATGACAATGCACTGAAAATAGCGTTTCCGTTGTTATAGCCAAAATGGATAGAGTTTGTTATCAAATAAAATAAACAAAAATATCGTTT